GAATTTCTTCTGGACAGTCCATATGGTTAGTTGATAATATTTGTCGTATGCGCGCGCGTGTGTTACAGAATTTATCATTAGTTGTTAGCAAAAAATATACGCGAAAAACATTATTATAACATATTCTTGAGATTTCCACGAGTACTTTCTATATAACTGTTGTGTTTTTCGCGGGTTTTCTCCGTCTAGATCATACTTCAGTATCAGGCTGCTCCTCGCCCTGATGAAGTGAACTGCGAAGCTCACGAAATGTTGGCATTCCAAAAATGGATCTAGACATGGAGAAAACCTGCGAAACACATAATAGTTATTATTATAACATATTAACAGCAGCTAATTCAAAATGATTTTGTTAATTTAGTAATACAATATTAAGACACATTAAAAGGCTCTTAGTTTAATTCTTAATCAGGAATTAAGATATATTCTAATCACAAGAAATAGTCACTGATTATTTTATTTTGATTTTATTATGATAAGCCCATGTTAATGAATAAGTTTGAAATATATAAAGTGAATATAAAAGTAATTATTAATTTAATTACTAGTTACCAAAAAATGTAACTAAGTTAAGTCACGATTATAGATAGAAAAAAAAAGGAATAAAATAAGTTGCAGTTACTAAAAAAAAGTAACTCTATCTAGAACTTGTTAGAAGAAATGAATTATTTTCCAATTCTGGAAATTTAATACTGAAAGGTAGTGATTATTTATTTATTTTAAGCATTGTTGTTAGTAATTAATTATTTTCAGTATTAAATTTCTGTAAAGATAGATTACTATAATAACATTATTTCTTTTGTGTATATTTATGATACATATACACATATGTATTACTAGATAAATCTATTTATTTGTACAGGTGACGAATTACCTAATCGTGGTTTTGACCCCGGTCTGGACACTTTCGATACACCACCAAGAGACGGTAGCAAAGTTAAGGTCGATGTAGATCCCAAAAGCCAAAGATTACAGTTGCTGGAACCCTTCGATAAATGGGATGGCAAGGACCTAGAGGACCTGACGATCCTGATTAAAGTCAAAGGCAAGTGCACCACAGATCATATCTCCGCGGCTGGGCCATGGCTTAAGTATCGTGGACATCTTGATAATATTTCCAACAATATGTTCATTGGGTAAGTATATTATAAGTATATATAAAGTCATCATATAAATTAAGATTTTTAAATTAGGGAATGAAAGTAATTCAAGAGAATGCTAGAGATCCGAGTTCGATTTCCGATTGAGGTAATATTTTGGCTATAAAAAGTATTAGGTGTTGGAATTAATTCGTAGCGTTTTACAAGTGATGGGAAGTACTTTCATTAATGTATTTTTTAATGCTCATGTGAAATAAATAACATTCTTTCATTAAAAAACGCTACGAATTAATTCCAACACCTAATAAATTTATTTACAGAGATGTCCAGCATATTAAGATCTCTTAAAAAATTCTTATTGAGCATCAATTGTGATATTACTATATATAGTAGTTAGTATATTACTATAGTAGTTAGCTGCGTTTCTAAGCTCGAAAAAATTAATTCGGTGCGCAATGCAAATAATTACAAATATAGAATATATGTATGTACAATTTACATTATATACAAATTTACATGAAATTATTTAAACATTAAAAATTTAACTTCGACCGTTATAAACCGTTATTTCTTATTTTCTATTGGTTAATTTTTTTTTCGTTGTGTCACTTTTGAAATAACAGAGTGATATAAGAATAAATTTTTCAAAATTATATGTAATATTATTAATATAATACGATAATGTTATGTTAATCGCATTTGTCGTATAATCTTTTTAGTGCTGTTAATTCTGAAAATGGCGAGATGAATAAGATCAAGAATCAACTGACAAATGAATGGGGTGCAGTACCTGACGTTGCACGCGATTACAAGAAGAAGGGTGTCAAATGGGTTGCGGTGGGAGACGAGAATTACGGTGAAGGTTCCTCCAGGGAGCACGCTGCCCTGGAACCGCGTCATCTTGGCGGTCGTGCCATCATCGTGAAGAGTTTTGCACGTATACACGAGACAAATTTGAAGAAGCAAGGTGTCTTGCCTTTGACCTTCTCCAACCCTGCGGATTATGACAAAATTCAGCCTAACGACAAGATCAGTCTTCTCGGCTTGAATGATTTGGCACCTGGCAAGGTTTGTAAAAAATATTTTGCTTGTAACATGAAAATAAGTTAAACAAAAGGATCCAAAAATTTAAGGAAATATTTTAAATAAGTAAGGCAATAACCACAAATATAATCGAGACTGGATATATAATCGATCTTGGTGTCTAATAATATTTTTATGTAAATGTTCCTCCTTGCCAAGAGCCGCGTAACTTTCCACGCGAAGATGGAGTGGACCTCGCTTCGTGTGAAAAGTCGTCGCATACCTTAACAGGAGGGGAGATAGGGTGGAAGTCACTTGGCATGGAAAGTCGTACGCACACCTATGTGCTATATAAAACAAATATATAAAACAAAAATTATATGAAAAAATAAAATTTTTAAAGCAGGAAATCTATTTTAAAGCGCAAAATTTTTGTTCTATATAGTAGAAAAGAGTTATTTTTTTAAACTTTTCTTCTTAATAACTTTTTAATAAATAACAAGCGACGGCTAAAATCTGTTAGAGATCACTCAGGGTCATGACCTCGATAACATATGTCAAAGTCATTGAAACCTGTGAGATCGCATAATATGTATAATTTTCCCTTCTCACTCCCCTTAAGCCTTAGAACGCTGCAAAGAATTTATTGCGAAAATATATACGTATACGTATAATTAAAATGTAATTAAATATTTTAACTTTAATTTTACTTTTAATATCTGATGTATAAAATTTTCGATGAATGTTTGACTTATCTTTCCTTTTGTTTGATATGATTTTTTTCAGTCGGTCCAAGCCCAAATCAAACGTAAAGACGGCAAAGTGGACACCATCAGTTTGAACCACACGATGAATGAGCAGCAAATCGGTTGGTTCAAAGCCGGTTCTGCTTTGAATCGCATGAAGGAAATATCGAGTGGTAAACGATAAACTAATCTCAAATAGATATTTCGAAGAGTCATATGCGAAGAGAAAAAAATATGTTGAATGGAACGAATCCGATCAGGGTAATACAATGTCATCACGTATCTGTTCTCTTGTAATAAGTGAATGAGTACGATATCTAGCCATCGCAGTTCAATGCAAACGTTTATATATCGTAAAAATATTCAAAATACATCTAAAGACAAAATTCAAATATACTTAGGTATTTTAGATGTATGGTGTTAGTCAATTTCAGTTAGTTCATAGCCCCTTGCCTCACTTCTACTTGACAATACTAATCACTTACACAACGCGAAGAAAACGTATATTTACAAGTTTGACGACAAAACTCTGACGGATAGAGTCTTACTCTACGTCAATGCGTAGTTACACGTATCGGTCAATGCGCTTGTTTCAAAATCGTGAATACAATTTGAGGCGTTGCTACATGTACATAAATATGTAATACTTATTATCAACGAGGAAGCGCCATCATTATTTTCTAGTTGTTAACTGGTTTTATAAAAATATATTGTTTTGGAAAAAAGCCAAATATACTATTAGCCAATGAACGACCTTAATTGATCTTCATTAATTCCCTTGCTTCAAGTGTTCTCTTGTAGATGCCGTGCGTGTTATGCGAAGACCAGAGAGAATCAAGGAAGAGTAGAGCGGATTCACCGGAAGCCGTCATTTTTAGATTATCATTGGAATGAGTAGGAGATATGATAGGAGCGTGATGGAACATACGATGCTGCACACTGTATAGTTAGTATTGTACTGCACTAGTATTATGTATATGTACTTACATATGTATATGTACATATACATATATACGGAAGTTGCACTATAAATGACGGAACCAATCAGAGAAGAGAACACTATCCGCTCTACCCTCCTTTGATTCTATCTGGCGAAGGCGAAACAATGTGCAATTCAAAGAGTTTAAAGATATTGAGCTATAACAATATTAGTTAAGATATCAGTCAAATAATCAGATGAAAAAGGTAATCTTAGTATGGACTTTTGTATCTAGACTGCCGATTTTGCCGTCATGTTTGAAGTGCCATGTTTTTTAAGTTCATGTACTTTCACATAGTATATAAACACGGAGAGAATCACATACACTGTTTTCACATAATATACAGTTACATAATACACTCAGATCACGTGACATACACAGGATGCATATATATGCATATATGATCTAATAAATAATTTGACTTATAATGATTTTTTGCAGCAAAATTTGATTTAATTCTTAATCAATATGATATGAATTTAGATCGATGAAAATAAATCTAATTAAATATGAAAATTCTTGTATTTGATCAAAATAGAAATAAATTGATTTAATAAAAAATATATTGTATTATTCGAAACATCTAACTTTGACCACTAAGGGCGTTCTCTATCTAATTGTTGTATTCATATATATGGTCGTTCTTAGTCTTAATATTATTTATATTTATTATCAGAATAAATTAGGCAAAAAACATCCAACACTTGCATGCTCCTTGTTTTGATTTTTATTATTTGTAAAGCATTTGTTGATTTTATTATATTATTGAGGATTGCAAAATAAAAAATGAATTCTAAACATAATTTACGATTGACTATTTCTTACATTGAGTCAAATATAGAAATATAGAAATTATTGGCTGTGTTCAGCAAAGAAAGTAATACTCTTGTCAGTTATATTAGTAATTATTATTTATTAATGAAATTATATATTATATAAATAATTTTTTTTAATTATTTTTCATTTATATAAATGATAAAAAAGTAATGGGTCATGTCAAATTTCAGAGAAAAGATATCATAAAAAAATTATGCATCATTGTTATAAATAAATTATTTATTAGAGATTCATTTCAAAGAAATTTCGAAGATATTAATAATAACATAAAAATGTCTAAAAATTCTACGATACAGTTGCGGCTCACAACACAATCCACACGCAACGATGCGTTACCATTTTAAATACACATGTGTCATTTCCATGGTAACAACTTGCAGTTCGATTATATAAACAGAAGATTAAGAGCATTAAGAGTCTTGAGTGTTTTGTAAAGGGCGAATGATCAGGGTATTATTGATCACAAGTTCAAAAAAGGAAATTCGAAAAACAAAGCTTTCTTTTGTCGACAAGTATGTCAGTGGAAGGACAATTTTTTCTCTCTGTTACCGGCTCTATCGAGCATGCAGAGTTTTACGAGGTCAATAACATTTATTGCAAGTACTGCTTTCATTTCGGACCTGACTGGAGCGTCGTTGCGGTAAGTTCCCAGTAATAAAGAAAATCGAAAAGAACAATAAAATTACGTTATTATTGCCATAAGAGAATCTAAGGCATGCGACAATATTGAATTACATCAAAAGGAAAAACTTCGTATAATCTCCTTTTATGTTTAGAATATAATATTTATTGATCAATAAAATTTCGAAATTATGTCAACTAAATGTAATTAATTAACTGCAAAATTCTATGAATTGTTCATTATTCTTATCTTTTAACAGTAAGAAAATTAATAAGAAAGAATATAATAATGGCTTTATAGACATAGAACATTTAAACCACACGCTGGATTTTTTATGCGCAAGATTTCTATTATTTAATGAATTCGAACGAATCTTGCACAAAAAAAGACCCAGCGTGTGGTTTAAATGTTCTATGCCTTTTATTATTTTTGTATTTTTTATTTCTATTTGAGCTAACATAAATTAATTATTGTCTCTATGGTTGCTTTTGAATTCATAATTACGCAAAATAGTTTTAAGAAATTTGAAGAATAATTATATCATATGTCTTGAAAACTAACGTTATAAATTTAAAAACATATAAAAAGAAGAAGCATAAAAAACCACAGCACAAGTTATAGTTTATGATATTTAATTATTATTACATTAATTAAAACATTAAACGTTTCGGCCACAATCTGGCCATCTTCAGTAATTCAATAATATTCTTAAAACGCAAAATTACATCTAGTTGACATTAAATTCAACAGTCGGGAGTTGTAATTAAATAAACATGTTCTTTTCTATGTGAAGATGCTTCATACAATAATGTTATAATGCCAGTTGTCATATCAAGAAAAGTGTAGAACAAGATGTAGATTCCAGATTCTGTTTTACAGCAAAAAACTAAACGATGAATCTCAAGTACTTCTTTTGCACAATTAGAATATTGTCGTGACATTATATGTTGTTATTTTGATAATAACAACACATAATGACAACAAAATGTAAATGAATTCGCAATGAAATCGAAATAACTTTTAGATACCTAATTTGTGAAATCGCGAATTTATAATAAATATCTTTTCACAGGGAATCGAAGAAGGATTGACACAAATGTGCAAATGCAGCAACGATTCTAGAAATCTCGCCGTATGGAACTTTCCATTGGAGATTACGTTCAAGAGTACAAATCCACATGGATGTGAGTGATATGTAAAAATATTTTTTATGATACGCGTTATAAAGGAAGGATAAAACAAGTAAAAAATGTGAAAAAAAATTATTTTTCCTTGTTTTTCACATTCCATATTTTTAATCTACAATACAAATAGCGAAATATGTATTTGCCAAATAGGGCCACAACTTATCATGTCAATTTACGGCTTGGATTTTTTCGGTCGCGACGTCATCAGGGGATACGGAGTGTGTCATTTGCCTCTGAAAACTGGATATCATGAGAAAAGGTATTAAGCCTGAGACACAACTAAAAGTACGTACAATAGAAACAGCAAATTATATATAGATTTCGGATACGATCGAGTTGTCTCTCTCTACGAATGTTTTGAAGCATTTTTTGATTAGTTAATTAGTAAAATTTTTTCTTCCGATTGATTAATCAAATGCTTCGAAGCATTCGTAGTGGCAATTCGATCACATCTTTCATCCTATGAAAAACCATGTAATCTGATGTACGCAGTTTCTGAAATCTAGCTTGAAATCTGTTATTCCCTATTCTTATTACCTACCCGGAAAAAATGTTATATAATGAACATATTATATATATATATATATATATATAGATATAATTATATATAAAATATGTCAATTTTATATATAATTATACATAATTTTAACAAATAAAAAGATAGAATATTATTTTATAATTGTCCCTGCTTTTATTTTCAACATTTATGGGATGATTAAAATAGAATATTAAGAATTGTAGAAAATGCAAAGTTCTCAAAATAATTTTATTCTGTTATAATAATTCAAAAGTAAGACTAACAAAGGATTAAAAAATTATTATAAAAATAAATATTATTTTTTAATAAAATATTTTTTAATTTATTTTTCGTTAAATATAGGATGACGTTAATTTGCGAAAATGTTTTATACTTATGGCCAATGCTATTTCGGATTATAGGAGCATGCTACAAAGCCTAAATATTCTTTGTAACTGTAGATATTTGTTTCACATCTTGCGATCAAGACGAATTATATCTGATAATGAAAGATGTCACAGGTAAACATTGCATTATTCATTGATTATTGTTTGTTGTTAACCTTTAGTGAAATTCCTTTAAATTTAGTTATCAATCAATAAGTGAAAATAAATTTCAAATTTTCATGATCCAGAAATATCATTTTTTTACAGACGACATTTGACAATGTTACCAAACATGATATTAAAAAAACCTAGAAGTGAGATTTCATTTCTTTGGAGTGAATCTCATTCCAAAGGAGTGAAATTCACTCCAAAGGAATGAAAATTTCCCATTCTTTTTTCAAAGTGAAAAATATTTTCATTCTTTTCCAATGACTGGCTCAATTTTTATTCTTTTAAAGTGAAATTTCATTCTAAGAGATTTTAAAGAGTACTCCAACACAAAAGAAAATTTTTTTTCATATACGCAGCTCTGTAAGTTGTTTAAATGCCATTTTTGGTAACATTTATAAGTGTCTGTGAAAAAATGATATTTCCGGATTACGAAAATTTGAAATTTATTTTCACTCTCATTCCAAAAAAGTGAAATCTCAGTTCAATTGGTACGTACCTTAGTACATATCAATTTCAATCTCTTTGAAATGGTGCATTGTCCCATTAAAGCATCAAAGGATGCTTTAATGCTTTGATGCTTTTTACTTACGAAATTTTAAATCTTGAAAGGGTGTCGATATACGTCCCGGAATCGTCATCCATGTTGCAGCATTTCATGGAGTGGTTAACCGGCAGAAGACCGGAATTAATTGATCCCACTATACTTGCGTCCGGCGGCGGCAGAGAACGTAAGGAGCATCAAGATATTTCTCGTTGATCTATTATGTAATGTGTCTATTATGTAATGTTAAATTAATTATATTTAGAAGGCTGGAAATGTAATGGAATATAATCGACGGTGTCATATTTGTATTATGAAATTAATTCAGATGTCAACTAATTATATTCAGTCCTTTTTTTGGTCCATGCCGTCAGTCAAGTTGGATCTTCATAAAATGGCTTAAATGTGATTGGCTATCTGCTTTCCTCTACTTTCAAGTTACTACGCATAGGAATGATTCACTTTGAATTATTTTCACCATTAGTGACCAACACTATCAAAGTATTTTGAAACGCTTATAAAAAATAAACGTTTCGGGATAAAATTTTAAATTACACGAGAGAGAGAGAGAGAGAGAGAGAGAGAGAGAGAGAGAAGCTAAATAATAATGTAATATCAAAAACTCGTGCTGGTTTTAGTTTTCTGGTTGCTTATTACCAGCGCAAGTATTGATTGGCTGTTGCTTTTCTGCTTTTCTGTTAAAGTCTGAACCCTAATTTGTAAAAATTAACCAATCACCTTCAATTTTTATTCTTCTTACCGTCGAATGAGAGGGGAATACTTGATTGTGATTTAGTCAATTCTTAGATTACGGCATACAGTATACGGTTATGGTCAATATAAACGCTCCCTAAGACGTTTTTGCGCTGCCATTAATAATCCAGGAATTATAATTTTCTTTACGTACCGACGATACCGACTGAAAAAAAATTTTGTCTAGGTTAGTCTAGGTCGTAGAAAAGAAAAAAAGTCAGTACCACATCCGGACCGACCGCAATAGGACAGTGTTTTATAATAAATTTTCCTTATTATAAAACACTTACAATTTTTAATAACTGAAATAACATTCGATCGAACATAAAATGTCGATGACTAGAAAACCTTTCTTATAATCTTCTTAAATAATATATTAGAGCAAGGAAGTCAGTTTTCATATTGTCACATAATTATACATAATTAATATAAGTTGACTTCGCGTCACAACGCGCCATCGCCTAGATCGTCCAAGCGTCTTCAAAGGGTTGATGACTTTTGCAACGCCTGAGGGCAGCCAGATTTTTATATGACTTTTTAATGCTTTTTAGAAGATATTCTTCTAGATATTATCTTCAAAAAAGTCAATCGGTATCAAATAATGTAAAGGCATCTCATTTTTTGTTATCTTCGATCCGTAGCCGGACAATTTATGCAATCTCTTTCGTAGGGTATTGTTGTTACTATACTTTAAAGAGTTCAAACTACTACCTAAAGAAGTTTCAAGCGGTATAACATTTGTGCATCAGAATTTTTAACAACAGTGATTGAATGCGATTCTATATTGCGGCCAATTCAGACAACAAGGCATTGACTTTTCTCTTTTCCACATCTATCAAGAGACAGGTAGTGGCTCGGAGCTAAGGGAACGCGTAGCATTCTTAACACGAGACACTGCCGGATATTTATGCGGAGCGATGAGTTTCACGATTATTATATCTCAATAACGGCTATGTCGATCAAATTCTATATACAGACTAACAACACAAAAATTTCCAACCGGTATCAAATCATGTAAGGAAAATCATCATTAGCTCGCGGACTATAATGCCTTTCTTTCAAATTGTATCTATTTTGTAATATTACAGTCACACGCATGAGGGTCGAGGGAGTTGTTACCGTAATGTTCAACGTCGTCTTGAAGGATTTGTTCAAGCTGGGTTATGACAACGGTGAAAAATGGAAGAAATGATAATGCCACATAAACTCTCTCAATCTGAAAAGGATTACCTAGCCAAAACTATCTTGTCAAAAAGTTACGATATATAATTTCATTTTATAAATAATATTTTCTCGAATAAACGAAACGTGATTTTTCCGTATAATTTATCGCTTCTATTTTTCCTCAATATCAACGGCAAAAACGAGAAAATTTCGAAATCAAGATCGTATTTTCACGTTAATGGGTATTCTGTGTAAAAAAAGACGAGAAAATGAGGCTAATCCCTTGCGAAAAGCTTATTAAGTTTCACGTAGTTTTAATCCATGAAATAATTCCGCATGAAGCCACGGTGACGTGAGCGGTAGTGATAAGTAACCGGTTTTCTAAATCATGTCTGAAGATTTCCAAAAATGTATATTTCTTATAAAAATTATAAATTAGCAAATAAAAATAATAAGATGTATGATTGAGAATGTTATTATCATGCTTATCTCATACAGTATATATATTTTATTTATCATTTATGAGTAGGTATATAAATTAAATAGTCCTCAAAATATTAAATAACATAATAAGTATTTGATAAATAAATAAGTACTGTAGTTGGATAATATAAATATAAAATTTTGCAATAAGTCCGCTAAAAAGCAAATTTAACCCTGTGTGTGAATCACTGTTTTTCACTAATGTTGTGTAAACCGTGAGTTGTTTATGCTTGTACCATATTTCTCCTAAATTAGTTGTGAAAAATCGAAAAAAAATTTCTTTTATTGTTTTACATCTTTACTTTGTATTCTAAACTCAGATATTATATTTTTTTTTATGTAACAAAATACAAAGGGAAACTTTGAAATTTTGACTGTTCCTTGAAGATACGGTTCATACGTAGGATTACTATAAAATATTTTATATTTACATTATTATTCACTAGTGCTTATTTATTTATCAAATTATTTATTTATGAAATTTTATATAAAAATATAAAAACACTACAATGCAGAATAAAACCGCAGTTATTATATCAGGAATTTTTGTATATTTGGCTATATGAATTAGTTAAAAATTACATAAATTTTATCTTTTTTAAATATTTGCATCGTGTATAAATTAAAATGTAATCTGAAAAATTTTTTGTTTATATTTTTACATTTTTCTTATTTATTTTATTTTATTATTAGATTTTGTTTGTAATAATAGTAATAAAAAAATTGATGAGATATGATTTAATAAGTGAATTAGATAATTGATATGAATTAGGTAACTAATGATCCTTATTAAAACCTTATTTATCTATATTTATTTATAAAATATATAAGTCACTGTATCGATTCAATGATCTATATTTATGGGTGAGTATATTTACTTACCATATTCAATTCTTTTTATTTATTTAGTGTAATCATGTACAGATTGATTAAATATAATGACAATATAAAGAAAACCTTAAAAATGCCTTTAGAAGAAAGTAAATATATACATAGCAAAATCATTGCACGTATGCGTCATCCATTTATTCAACAATTTGTTACATTAATGTACGATATAAATGCGATTCAACAGGTTATTTATTTTACTGCAAAACAGAGAATTAACGAAACGGTATAATTAACTCAACATAAAAAAAATGTGTTATAGATACTCGAGCGTAACATTAACTGTAAAGAAATAGTAATGTATACAATTTTACAATTTTCAACATTTCAACGTTTCACTCATTCAAAATTTCTTGCGTAATCATAACTTATTTCAGCTGGTTTCGGAAAAAAGAATTTTTGGTCGCATGTGACAAACAGGATAAATTAACAGTAACAATTCGAAATTCGATATAAGAGTGAAAATCCTCAACTTTAATCAAACGATATAAATTGTTAGAGAAGGCTCCTTTTGCTTACAAATTGATTACCTATAATATCGTTTGCCTACATCATTGCCAACAGTTCATTAATTGCGCACAAAAATTGTTGTTTGCAGCTCGATTGCTTATATGCACTGTTGTGCAAAATATATAAAATTAAAAGAAAAAGATACGTTTATTGATACACGACATGACATTATTGCGCGTAAACGGCACACATAATATTATTACCTACAGCTCGATTTTTGTGTGTGTGCCTACAAGCATTTAAATTACATAAGAAAATAGTATATGTTTATAAAACAGAAAATTTGTGTTTTAAAGCAGAAAATTTGTGTTTCTAAAGCAGAGAATAATGTTTGTATGCAATCGATTTGTAGGCAATAGTGAAAGTAAATAAACGTATAAGCAAATGTGAAGTCAAGAATATTATCAAGCAAATGTGACTTCGCCTCTGAAATTTTTATTTATAATAATATTATGTATGCAATGCAGTTTGTGCACGTAAACGTGCCTTTTTCTTTTAATTTTATATTTGTGCGCAAAAACGAATATTGGCAAATGTGATGTAGGCAAACGATGTTGTAGGCAATCAATTTGTAGGCAAACGAGGTCCTTCCAAATTGTTATACCTACGTGGTACGTAGTAATGTTCAACATATATCTCTGCGTTCCAATTTTATATACTCCACAGTAGAGAGAAAATTAAAAAATAAAATAAAGTTATAATTCTTCTGCGTCGATCTGAGTACTTTATGGAGCTCACATAATTTAAAGTACGAGAATACTCTGCGATAAGGGTACAGTTGATATCTTTATTTATTACCCTAGTTTTTCTTGTGGACTAGATGATTCAAGATGATTCTCCGCATTGTCTACGCTTATGATTAACCGTTTAAAAATATAATACCTAAATCCCGCTATATTCTTATATGTATTAAATAATTTTTATGATGTAATTGTTTGTCATAAGATAAAATTTTAACAATCTAGTTTGAATTGTTTAGTAATTGCTTTTATGTAAGTCAACATTATATTTTCTTTTAACAAATGATTCCGTAGATGATTAATTTTACTGCTCAAAGATTTATAAATTTTGTTAAATGTTTGCAAATCAAAAAAACAAATACTGTATTTCTAACATTATTGTGGAAGAAACAGATTCTATTGCAAGAAAAATTTTATGAAATAAGATGATAAGATAATATTTTTATTTACAATCAGTAAATAAAAATATCTGTAATAAAAGGGACGCTATATTAACATATATAAGGAAAATGTGCTCTGATCGATTTTTAATTTTAAAGATTACACATACATAATAATTTTATTGGAGTAATCAAAATTTAAATACAGTCCTGGTGAAAATTTTTCTCAGAATTTTTATATGAATTGGAACACTTTTCAGAAATAATAAGAAAATTTACATTTTAGAACTTGTTATATATGCGAATTCTGAAATATTCTAAAATTTTTGATAATATAATTTTTAAGATGAGAAAATATAATTTTTTGAAAAAAATGCGTTAAACTGTTTTAAATTTTATAAGATTTCGTCAGAAATTTTTAGAATAAGAAATTTTACAGAATATTTCAGAATTCACATCTTCAATATGAAGAATTCTATAGACAAAATACAGACTTTCTCGACACTTCTTGAAAAGTGTTTCAATTTGTATAAAAAACTGGAGAAATTTTCTAAAAAAAATTACTCAGATATTCTGAAAATTCCAAATTTATATAAAAAAATATGAAAAATTATATCAAAAGATCCGAGAAAAATGTTCACCAGAGAGATCTGAAAATAATTTTATTATATATAATAATTCTGACTATTAAAATAATTATATGAAACGTTCCAGTTGAATGCTAAAATATAAAAATTTTATATTCAGCAACGTTCTTCATCATGCGTTGTGTTTCCTACATAATTATATTCCTCCATAATTATTTTGATAATTCCATTAAAAATTATTTTCAGATCTGAATCTATCTAAATTTTTAAATACTTTAGCAAAATAGTTCTTTTTGTATAAGAATTTAATTTAAAAAAATTAGCGTTACAATCAAGTATCAATTTCTCTCTTAATCCATTTATTTTCAATTTTGGAAAGAAACAGGTTAGACTTCTACGAAATCAATTAGCTACTAATCTATCCGTATATTATCTATCAATACCGTTGCTGTCGTATTTGATGTTATCCACAGATTCCACGTTCGGAAAGAGGCGGAACAACTCGAAGACAATGCCATTCGTCCATCCGAAACCGTCCTGTACGTTATATTCGCCGCCACCGCCACCTTCGCCTGGATGCATGGCGTTATACTGAAATTCAAAGATTAATTACTTCGTGTAATCGGGCGTTTTTGATTCACAAAACAAATCCGTCGCATCGTGCGAAAGTAATCAAGACTCGCATTCTAAATTATCACTTCCTCCGTGGTTTCCGTCATGGCAGCGAGTTAATACGCGTTGAGGGATACTTGCAGTGGAAATCTAATTTCTCCCGATCGCGAGAGAACTTGGATGAACTTTCCTTAGTTAGTTAAATGATACTTATAGTGTCGTCGTCTGAGCGATTGAGAGCTCGTTGAGAGTGGAGCGAATATTCTTCGAAATGTTCGTTCTGATGTAAAGGAATATTTTGTTTTAAGATTTCTCGATATTAATTAAAATTACATGTAAATTTCAATTGAACAGCATTTTTAATTGTGTCATTAGATTAATTTCCTGCCTTAATTTCAGTTCTAGAGCCAAAATGCAAAGCCATTGACGCAAAAAAAAATCAACATGGGTAAGATTTCGTAAACTGTAAAGTTGATACGTATCTGAGCGACGATTATTAACACTTTACAGTCCATGAAATCTTGCTCACATTGAATTTTTCTATAAAGCTAATAAAAGAGAATTAACTCGAGCTCGACAAATAATCAGTTTTGCAAATGGAAAATGTAATTTCAATTCTCTTACGTCAACGCGTAAAATCTCGCAAGAGACGGAATACCTTCAGATCGAAGATCCTTTCTCATCTTCAGAATGAGGCAAGCGCAAGAAACTTTAATTGAATCGATTGAGCATGTTTGTTCAACAAAATGGACTGGCTATTTCCTGCGACAGCTCGTTATTGATACACCAGTATCGACAAGATGTAATCTGTACAAAGTATCGAAGTGTAAATTTCGCCCACCATTCTCTATAAATGACACTCGTAATAATTGTATCTTATATCATGGCTTAAATTACGCTATTAAATTAGTTTTATTGAATAGTTGCGTTATTATAATGCGGCTATGCCAGATGTGTTAATCGTTACTTCCTAAATTATGATGTACAGACATGAGAAAAA